CTCCTCACATAGCCAACAGATACTTGTTGCCTCAGGGGCCCTGTACCGTCGGGGGGGGGGGGGGGACGCGTTAAAGACTGTGAACAATATTCTAACCATGAAACCTACACCTTGCTGTTTGGAGACACCTCAACAGGCAAGGCTTGTAATTCCCACATTCTCACTGACAGAACTGGAAGATCAGAGTGGTGCAGTAAGTACTTGTTGGGGTCTAACCCCAAGTCAAAATCTGTCCGTTGCTTGATATTCTCCATGACTTGAGACCAAAAGCTACTCAACTTCCTGCAAGACCCGAGCGATATGGAGGATGGAGCCCTCCTCCTCCTTACATTGCCAGCAGATAGTTGCTGCCTCAGGGGCCCTGTACCGTCGGGGGGGACACGTTATAGACCGTGACCAATATTCTAACCATGAGACCTACAGCTTGCTGTTTGGAGACACCTACACAGGCGAGGCTCATAATTCCCATGTTCTCACTGACAGTTGGACCAAAAGCTACTCAACTTCCTACAAGACCAAATGATATGGAGGATGAAGCCCTCCTCCTCCTTACATCACCAGCAAATACTTGTTGCCTCAGGGGCCCTGTACCATTCGGGGGGGGGGGGACGCGTTAAAGACAGTGATCAATATTCTAACCATGAAACCTACAGCTTGCTGTTTGGAGACACCTACACAGGCGAGGCTCATAATTCCCATGTTCTCACTGACAGTTGGACCAAAAGCTACTCAACTTCCTACAAGACTAAAAAGATATGAAGGATGGAGCCCTCCTTCTCCTTACATCGCCAGCAGATACTTGTCACCTCAGGGGCCCCGTACCGTTGGGGGGACGTGTTATAGATCGTGACCAATATTCTAACCATGAGACCTACAGCTTGCTGTTTGGAGATACCTCCACAGGCAAGACTCGTAATTCCCATCATCTCACCAAAAGAATTCAGAATGATGTTGGACCTACAAATATGGGCGCGGAGAGTCAATAAGTTGGAGAAACAAGGAGAGCACCCCGCACCACTGCAAAGATATCCAGCTGGACTTGCAAGTCACAGTATTGTGGTTACAGTCTTGAAACCATCTCATCCCTGTGGACCTACTGATCCCATTTCTGTCTACCAGGAATGGTTATTTAAGATTTGAGTTCATTTCCCCTTTGTCGGCTAATAACCGGAAACAAAAAATATGTCTTGTTGAACTGAATGTGCATAGACGATAGGATGATCATATTCTTTTTGGATCTGGTGGTACAATTTCTGGTTCCTTTCACTAACAGCCCAGAGATGAAGGGATATAAGGGAACCGGGAACCCGAGATAGGTTGCGTTAAATGGGTCCTCAATGTCATAGAAAACATTCATATTGTATATACAGTAGATAGGGAAAGATGACATTGCAGATCGCAAATACTCATAGTCACTGTGAGACGTGTTCTTCAGGTGTGTAAGGCTTTGTGATGGGCTTTTGCCAGTGACAATCCTCATGGCCTTGTCGGGTGATGTTGGGTTTGGACTGTAGAAGGAGACTGACATCGACAACAGTGACCAAGATCCTAACAAAAGACCTACAACATGTTGACTGGAAATAGACCGTAAAGGCTGAAAATTGAACTTTCCCTTTCAGGTAATCTAGGATCACCTGAGACACACAAGCAGTGCTCTGCATCCTGGGCAGGTCTTATCTGCTGGTGCTAAAGCTCTTGCCCTCCACTCTGTCGTTTATTGTGGTGGATGGCCCCACTGACAAATGAAGCTCAGGATACAAGAGGACTGGGAAGAGGGTGCTTAAGGGTAGAAGAGGGCGCATTGCTTTGAGGAATATTGGAAATTAAAAAAAAAGAACTGGTAGATTATTATTATTATTATTATACAGTATTTATAAAGCGCCGATAGTTCGCTCAGCGCTGTACATTACAGAGGGGACAGAACATGTGACAGAACAATACCAATACAATGCAATACATGAGGGGATCGAGGGCCCTGCTCTTCCCAGCTTACAATCTAGGAGTGGGGAAGGGGATGGTGGCACAGGAGGAGATAGCTGTGGGGGATGGAGTGGTAGGAAGAGTGGAGGAGGTCGGCAGGTTAGCAGGGGGTGGGGTAGGCTTCCCTGAACAGATGGGTTTTCAGGGTGTGCCTAAAGGAGAGGAGAGTAGGTGATAATCTGATGGGTTGGGGCAGGGAGTTCCAGAGGATGGGTGACACCCTGGAGAAGTCCTGGAGGGGGGCATGGGAGGAGGAGACCAGGGAACTAGAGAGAAGGAGGTCTTGTGAGGAGCGGAGTGTGCGTGTTGGGTGGTACTTGGATATTAGGTCAGTGATGTAGTTCGGGGCAGTATGGTGGACGGCTTTGTACGTCAGCGTTAGGATTTTGAATTTGATCCGTTGCGCAATCGGAAGCCAGTGGAGGGATTGGTAGAGAGGGGGGTGGAGAACACTGAGTGGAGGCCAGTGGAGGGATTGGCAGAGGGGGGTGGAGGACACTGAGCGGAGGCCAGTGGAGGGATTGGCAGAGGGGGGTGGAGGCCAGTGGAGGGATTGGCAGAGGGGGGTGGAGGACACTGAGCGGAGGGCCAGTGGAGGGATTGGCAGAGGGGGGTGGAGGACACTGAGCGGAGGCCAGTGGAGGGATTGGCAGAGGGGGGTGGAGGACACTGAATGGAGGCCAGTGGAGGGATTGGCAGAGGGGGGTGGAGGACACTGAGTGGAGGCCAGTGGAGGAATTGGCAGAGGGGGGTGGGAGGACACTGAGCGGAGGCCAGTGGAGGAATTGGCAGAGGGGGGTGGCAGAAACGGAGCGATTGGAAAGGTGGATGAGTCTGGCAGCCGTATTCAGGATGGACTGAAGCGGGGATAGCCAGCGGCGAGGCAGGCCAGTGAGGAGGGAGTTGCAGTAGTTGGATCGTGATATGAGTGGATGAGCTGTTTAGTGGTTTCTGGGGTTAGGAACGTGCGGATTTTGGCGATGTTGCGGAGGTGGAGGTAGACCTAAAGAAGACTCCATCAGGATATACGGAGAACTTTGAAGGACTTTCATAATTTCATATACACTGAGTTGGACATTGGGGCATTTTTCTATTTATTTATAGTGACCGATATTGCCTATATCCAGATCTGCAGCTTCCGGGGTGGAAGTATTGTTGCATTAGGTCCAAAGGGTTTGTTTAACTTTAGTCAGGTGTGTGGTTTTGTTATACTAAGTTGAAAATAGCCACGTTCTCACAGACAAAATCCAGAATGACATTGGATCTGGAGAATGGAGTAGGACAGTAGAAGAAGACTGACATCAACGACTGTGATCAAGATCCTAACCATCAGACCTACAGCTTGCTGTTGGGAGATATCTCCGCAGGTGAGGCTTAGAAGCCCCATGTTCTCACAGACAAAATTCAGAAACATTGGATCTCCAGAATTGGATGTAGGAGACAATGTGACCATCAGAGAAAGGAGCGTAGCGCTCTGCACCATGCCACCACCGCAGAGAAAGCCAACTGGACCTACAAATGTGTTGTCATGGTATCATGACTACAATTATAAAAATGGGCAGATTTAGCCCCTTATCTGTGGAATTGGTGATCTCATCTCGTGTTGGCTCTCAGTGTGTTGGCCCTCAAGATTTCAGTTCTCTTCTTCTTTTTTAGCTGAGAGCCACAAAAGAAATGTCTTGTTGACCTGATTGTGCATGGATGATAAGACAATTGAATTCTTGTTCTTCCAGGACCTGATTAGGCACCTTCTGATCTCTTTCACCCCTAGCCCGTAGATGAAGGGATTTAGAGAAGCTGGGATCATGAGGTAGATTGCGTTAAACAGGTTCTGAATGTCGTAGGAAATGTGAATATTGGAGCGGTACACCACGGACGATAAGAGTGCAGAGACGTAAATAATCATGGCCACCGTGAGATGTGCTCCACAGGTGTGTAGAGCTTTGTGACGGGCTTTCCCAACAGCAATCTTCATGGCCGTGTAGACAATGCTGGAGTAGGACAGTAGAAGAAGACTGACATCAACGACTGTGACCAAGATCCTAACCATCAGACCTACAGCTTGCTGTTGGGAGATATCTCCGCAGGCGAGGCTCAGAAGCCCCATGTTCTCACAGACAAAATTCAGAATGACGTTGGATCTGCAGAAGTGGACACTGGAAGTCAGTATGACCATTGGAGAAACGAGGAGAGCACTCCGCACCACCCCAATCAGAGCCAACTGGACTAGCAAACCCGTGGTCATGATATCGTTGTATCGTAAGGGTCGACAGATAGCTATAAACCTGTCCAGGGCCATGGAGAGGATCACACCAGACTCAAAGACAGCCATGAAGTATATGTAGAACATCTGACTGAGACAACCAGACAACGTGATCTGGTTCATATTTAAAGACAAACCCAGGAGGAATTTTGGCAAGATGGCGGTTGTGGAGGAAATGTTGACGGCAAAGAGGAGGGTCACGAGGAAGTACATGGGTGACTGGAGGCTCGGTTCAACAACAACCCGATGAATGACGAGGGTGTTTCCGAACAAGATAATGACGTAGATCAACATGAATGGAATTGTTAAGAATTTCCTGGATTTTATTATGCCGGGAACCCGAAGAGGACAAATTCTGTGTAGGAGATGATGGTCTCATTCTGGGTCAGTCCATCCATGGTGGAGGCAAAGAAGCCTTCAAGTCAAGAACTGAAGGAAATGGTTTTCTGCCATTTATTATCCGGGAAACTCGATTCTGAGTAGGAAATGACTGCTGGGATTGGATCCATCCTTCCATTGTAAGATGTGGAACTCTTATGTTGGGTCCTTCTTTGGAACAAACAAAATATATAAATGAGATGCAGTATTGATATAAAATTTTCATAAAAACAGCAAGAAGTGGTAACGATGTGTGAGGAAACCATACTTCATATTTTAATGTTTGGTGGGTCTATTCCTGCATTGAGTACCTGACTCTGCATTCTGGCCAATTATTAGGGGTCTCCACTATCCCTGTGCTGAGTTCCTGAGTTTGTGACCATGATAAGGGGTTCCCACCATCCCTGTGCTGAGTTCCCAGGTCTGTACACCCGCTAGGCCCATTATGAAAGCTTTCCACCATCCCTGTGCAAAGTTCCTGGGTCTGTACGCCCCCTGTGACCAATATGAGGGGTTACCACCATCACCAACCAAACAATCCTTCCCTACTCCAAGAACCCTTCCCTACTCCAACTAAGGAACTACTACCTACCCCAACCAAAGAACCCTTCCCTACTCCAACCAAAGAACCCTTCCCTACACTAACCAAAGAACCCTTCCCTACTCTAATCATGGAACTCTTCCCTACTCTAAACAAAGAATCCTTCCCTACTCCAACCAAACAACCCTTCACTACTCTAATCATGGAACCCTTCCCTACTCCAACCAAAGAATCCTTCCCTACTCCAACCAAACAACCCTTCACTACTCTAATCATGGAACCCTTCCCTACTCCAACCAAACAACCCTTCCCTACTCTAACTAAGGAACTACTCCCTACTCTAACCAAAGAACCCTTCCCTACTCTAACCAAAGAACTCTTCCCTACTCTAATCATGGAACTCTTCCCTACTCTAACCAAACAACCTTTCACTATTCTAATCATTGAACCCTTCCCTACTCCAACCAAACATCCCTTCCCTACTCCAACCAAACAACCCTTCCCTACTCCAACCAAACAACCCTTCACTACTCCAACCAAACATCCCTTCACTACTCTAACCAAAGAACCCTTCCCTACTCCAACCAAGGAACCCTTCCCTACTCCAACCAAACAACCCTTCACTACTCTAACCAAAGAACCCTTCCCTACTCCAACCAAGGAACCCTTCCCTACTCTAACCATGGAACCCTTCCCTACTCTAACCAAAGAACCCTTCACTACTCTAACCAAAGAACCCTTCCCTACTCCAACCAAGGAACCCTTCCCTACTCCAACCAAGGAACCCTTCCCTACTCCAACCAAAGAACCCTTCCCTACTCCAAACAAAGAACCCTTCCTTACTCTAACCAAAGATCCCTTACCTACTCTAACCAAAGATCCCTTACCTACTCCAACCAAGGAACCCTTCTCTACTCCAACCAAGGAACCCTTCCCTACTCTAATTATGGAACCCTTCCCTACTCCAATCAAAGAACCCTTCCCTACTCTAATCATGGAACCCTTCCCTACTCCAACCAAGGAACCCTTCCCTACTCCAACCAAAGAACCCTTCTCTACTCCAACCAAGGAACCCTTCCCTACTCTAATTATGGAACCCCTTCCCTACTCAATCAATCAAAGAACCCTTCCCTACTCTAATCATGGAACCCTTCCCTACTCCAACCAAGGAACCCTTCCCTACTCCAACCAAAGAACCCTTCCCTACTCTAACCAAAGATTCATTCCCAACTCTGTAGGAATCCTCTTTTACTCGCTCCATATCCTTACAGCTTTGACAGTAAAGAACCCCTTACACATTTTAAGAGGGGTCCTCTTGTTCTCCAGTTACTTGGGATTGGCCGCGTGTCTTTCAAAGCTTCCTGAAAGAAAACCTTTCCCTCCCTATGGTGGGATCTCCATGGAGGTGTTTGCCGCCATACTTCCTGTCCAGGGAGGAGATCCGATTGGTGGGGCCGCTTCTGGATTGGATGTGTTTCAGGTCTCCGCCTTTATTTCTATTGGCTGAACTAGATGGACATGTGACTTTATTCTGCCTAACTATATAAGTATACATTCTACAACAATGTAACAGATGTCTGTATCCCCCGCACTCTTGAGTCCCCTGCACCCAGTGTTCCCCGCACTCTGTATCCCCTGCACCCCGTGTCCGCCGCACCCCCCGCACTCTTGAGTCCCCCCGCACCCAGTGTTCGCGCGCGCCCCGTATCCCCCGCACCCCGTATCCCCCCCCACACTCTTGAGTCCCCCACACCTTGTGTCTCCTGCACTCCATATCCCCGCACTCCATATCTCCCGCACTCTTGAATCCCCCGCGCTCTTGAGTCCCCCGCACTCCGTATCTCCTGCACCCTGTATCCCCCGCACTCCGTATCTCCTGCACCCTGTATCCCCTGCACTCCGTATCCCCTGCATTTCATATCTCCCGCTCTCCGAATCCCCCGCACCCCATGTCCCCCACACCCTATGTCCCCTGCACCCCGAGTTCCCCCCTTACCCTGTATCCCCCTTACCCTGTGTCCCCCCACACTCCGTATCCCCCTTACCCTGTATCCCCTGCATCCTGTGTCCCCCCGCACCCTGTGTCCCCTGCACCCTGTATCTCCTCCGTACCCTGTATATCCTGCATCCTGTATCCTCCGCACCCTGTATCCCCCGCACTCTGTATTCCCCCCACACCCTGTATCCTCCGCACCCTGTATCCCCTGCACCCTGTATCCCCCCCACACTCTGTATCCCCCCTGCACCCTGTATCCCCCCCGCACCCTGTTTCCCCCGCACCCTGTATCCCCCCCGCACTCTGTATCCCCCCCGCACTCTGTATCCCCCCCACACCCTGTATCCCCCGCACTCTGTATTCCCCCCACACCCTGTATCCTCCACACCCTGTATCCCCTGCACCCTGTATCCCCCCGCACTCTGTATTCCCCCCCCACACCCTGTATCCTCCGCACCCTGTATCCCCCCCTGCACCCTGTATCCCCCCCACACTCTGTATCCCCCCTGCACCCTGTATCCCCCCCACCCTGTTTCCCCTGAACCCTGTTTCCCCCCCGCACCTTTATCCCCCCCGCACTCTGTATCCCCCCCGCACTCTGTATCCCCCCGCACCCTGTGTCCCCCGCACTCACCTGCTCAGCATACAATCTGCACGTAGCGTCCTCCCCCCACAGCGATGGCACAGGCGGGCACTACAGGCCACGCTCTGTATTTATCCTCTGTGACGTTCCCACCGGATTTCCAGCAGATAATTGGCATCTCTGCCACTACCCAGATACACCTGAGGGCCAGGTAATGACCCCCCCAGCAACACAGAGAGGAATGATGAGCCACCCCCCCCCCCCCCCCCGATGGACCTTTCACCTTTCCACTATAGACTTCTTGTTTTGACAATCATTTAATTATAACAAAGTCATACTTTTTTTTAGTAATAGTTTCACTGTAAATAAAAGAAAAAAATGTACGTTTTATTTCCTTAATTCGTCCAATTTAAAATGGTTCTAAAATAATGTTTCTGGGAAACCAGCGCGGCAAAGTTATCTGCAAATGGAAAACAGACACTTTCCTTTACCATGTAGGGGACACGAAACAAAGTATCAAACAAAATGAATGAAAATGAAAAAAAAATATGTCAACGGTAAAAAAATAAACAATTTAAAAAAAAGCATTAAATTATAAATATAATAGATAAAATAATAATATTATTAATAACAAACAAAAACAAAGCAGCAATAATAAACAATAATAATAATAATAATATAATAATAATAATAATAATAATAATAATAATAATAATAATATAATAAATAATAATAATAATAATAATAATAATAATAATAATAAATAATAATAATAATAATAATAATAATAATAATAATATAATAATAATAATAATAATAATAATAATAATAATAATAATAATAATAATAATAATAATATAATAATAATAATAATAATAATATAATAATATAATAATAATAATAATAATAAATAATAATAATAATAATAATAATAATAATAATAATAATATAATAATAATAATAATAATATATAATAATAATAATAATAATAATAATAATATAATAATAATAATAATAATAATAATATAATAATAATAATAATAATAATAATAATAATAATAATAATAATAATAATAATAATAATAATAATAATAATAATAATAATAATAATAATCATCATCATAATAACATTAATAACAACAATACTATTATTATTATTAATATTATTACTGATTAGATTGGTATTGGCAGAGGCAGCAGCCTTGTGGTTAGAGAGGCGTGCTACGGAGAGGGTTCAAGGCTCACCTCTGTCAAAAATACAATGTACAGCGCTGAGCAAACTGTTGGTGCTTTATAAATACTGTATAATAATAGTTACAGAATAATAAATATAATATATTAATACCATACATAATATGAAACAATAATTGTATATTAAAATATAATAGATGAATGAATCACTGATCACTGTATTGGTGTCACTGGAGATGTCAGTGACACCAAGTCAGTTCCCCCCCCAGAGTCAGAATGTCCGCCGCAGTCCAGCTAAAAGTCGCTGATCGCCGCCATTACTAGTAGAAAAAAAAAAATCCCAGTATCTATCCCGCCCAGGGGCAGACTGACCATTTAGGAACTTGGGCACTGCCCGAGGGCCCGGGGTCAGTAGGGGGTCCCATGAGATGCCCCTCGTACCTTTCATAGGCTTTTTTGGGTGTGGTTTGAGTTTGGGCGAAGACACAGGGGCCCCGTGATCCCCTATTGCCCGGGGGCCCCATGAGTCGTCAGTCCGCCCCTGATCCCACCATTTGTAGACACTATAACTTTCATGTAAACTAATTAATTTCCACGTATCGGGATTTTTTTAGTGAAGACACGGAGCGGGAGACATTTTGGCCGAAATTTATGACAAAATTTGATTTTTTAAATTTTTTTTAAATTGGACGTGTTTTATAGCAAAAAGTTCAAAATATTGTTTTTTTTTTCTCAAAATTGTCCGTTTTTTTTTGCTTATAGCTCAAAAAAAAAAAAATGCAACAGACAATCAAATACCACCGAAAGGAAGATCAATTCATAAGTTTCGTTTGGGTGCGGTGTTACAAGATTTGTGTCAGCAGTGTCAGATTGCCCCCCACTGATGAGGAGGCATTGGTAGGTGACACTGATGGGCACTGATAGGCGGCACTGATGAGGAGGCATTGGTAGGTGACACTGATGGGCACTGATAGGCGGCACTGATGAGGAGGCATTGGTAGGTGACACTGATGGGCACTGATAGGCGGCACTGATGAGGAGGCATTGGTAGGTGACACTGATGGGCACTGATAGGCGGCACTGATGAGGAGGAGGCATTGGTAGGTGACA